AGAGCTAGGATTATAGGCGTGAGCCACCGCGCCCGGCCTGATGTAATTTTTTGCTGTAAGATTTTTTTCATACTATTTAGCTTCTTTTTCATTTATTTATTTTGCTGATTCAGCACTCTTAAGTGGACTTTTGGCAGTTGGAGTGACTGAATCCTGTCAGTAAATTGTGTTCTCAGTCATGTGGAAGGAAGAGCTTCTTTTTCAAATGCTGTCCCCTTGCTGCTTTTCTTACTGGAGTGTGGTCTTATAGCTGAATGACAGGAATTTTATTTATCTTGGGGATGGTGGTGGTGGGCAACAGATGTTTGTTTTTGTGTAGAAACTTACAGAAAAGCAAATGGACCAACAACATGAATAGTCAGTTTGCAGAGAAAGAAATATAAATGTCTGATAAATATGTGAAGAAATGCTTGACTTTCCTTCTAATAAAAACACAAATTAAAACAACAAGGAGATGTAGGTTTTTTTGGGTCAGGAAGATTAAAATATTTGATAATGATCAGGGTTAGTGAGGAAGTGTAGAACAGGTACTTTTATACGTATGGGGAGTATAATTTTTTTGGAAGGCAGTTTGAAGTAGCAATTAATTTTAATCACTTATTCAGCATATTATCCTTAGAATAATATCTTAGACTGTATCCTATGGGTATAATTGGACACATACGCATACTATATATACCTAGATGGTCCTTGAAGCATTATTTGCATTAGTGAAAGACTGGAAACAACCCAAATTAATTATGGCAAAGCCACAAAATGAAATACTATGCAACTATTAAGCAGAATGAGTCAATTTCTTCTTTGCTGACAGAGAAAGTTTTTCAAGATATATTGATAAGTGAAAAGAAGTTGCAGAGTTGTATATAGCATGATCCCATTTAAAAAAAAAGATTAAAAAAAAAGATTTTATATACTGAATGTTTCCGGAAGGGTTCATAGGTAACTGTTAAGTGATTGCTCCCTGGGAATGAGGTGGGATAGTCAAGGGTAACAAGGTGACTTCATTTTTCTATTCAATTTTAAAACTTAGTGTATTTGTTATTTTCTCTATAGAAAAGAAAATCTTGTTACTGAAAACACTAAAATTAAACATTTTGAATGCCTTATTTAACTTGCAGATGGTTTTAATGGAGAAGTGATATATGAAATGTCTAGCTTAATTAGGGACCCATTCAATAAATTTTTAATACTGAGTGTGTTGTAAGGAGTTAGGATTTTAATCAGGTGACTAAAATGAAGAGGGAATGGATGTTTTCCTGGAAAATGTTTGTTAATCTGTGTTTTGTCTTCTCGGTTGTAAGGTTTTTTCGTAGGTCACCATTGGACTCTTAAGACTATTTTCATAAGATCAGTTGGTACAATCCAGTAACCATTAAATCCCAAATAACCCCCATTGAAGAATTTAAATGAATTTATGTAATTAACCAATAAGGAGAACAAAAATTAGAGCAATAGAAAACAAAATGATAGAAGGTGGTCATTAGTGAAATGGGAAAAGAAACAGTCTAGAGAGACCTGAGTTTGTTGGATGGTATGATTATTTTCAGTTTTTGCTGCTGTAAATAATGGGGCAGTGACTATCCTACATATATTTTTGCATACTTTTCCAAGTATACTTATAGGGTAAAATAGGGAATGTTCAAAGAGTATATTGTATTTGAAATTTTCCTAGATATTACCAAATTATTTTATCCATGAAGATTCTAATTTATTAAGTCTTGGGTAGGACCAAGCAATCTGTATTTTTAACAAGTTCCCTAGGTGACTTTGATGCAGCCAGAAAATGGCAAGATTCCCTACAGCTAAGGAGAATGGTACATGTCCTCTGAAAAAGGTCAGGCAATTCTGGATATCTAGGGAAGAGTAAAAAGCCTTTTCAGTAAGTGAGCAGTAAGAGCGTATTTATCTACAGTAGTGGTTGCTAGTCATGGGCCATCATTAGAGAAGCAAGTGTACCAATATTTATCTGGAATATTTTATGTCTCTTTGATATGTAAGGAAAAAGACATAAGAATTGTAAGGACTTGAGTTTGAACACTTTCCTCTTACTGTGTAATCTTAGACAAATTAATGAATTTAGAATTTTTCTTTATACAGTGATAATATCTACCTTCCAGGTTTGTTGCAAAGATTAAAGAGGGAGTGATACAACATTTATTGAATACCTCCTCTGTCTTCTGGTAGTATTTTGTGGATAACTCTGTCATGGCACTTTGTCGTTTAGTTGTGATTGATGAGTCACCTAGTCATCTCCCCGTTCGACTGACTGGGACCACATCCTGTGGTTTTGTATTCCTAGTCCCTAACCCAGGCCTGAGACATGGTGCACTGTTCTGTTTCATAAATAAGTGATGTGGGTTAAGCATTATGCAAATAGATTTTCTATTTTAATTTTCACAATTATCCTAAGAGATAAATATTGTTTTTTCTATTTTACTACGAGGAAATGTTCAGGGATCTTGAGTAACTTATTTAAGATAGCACAGTGTGGCATAACCAGAACTGAAAACTCCGCATGTGTGATTCCAAGCTAGATAAAATCTGTGCTTTTTCCATCAATCCACTTTGCTGAGATAATGATATAAGGCACTTTGGAAATTGCGAAATGTCATTCAAGGATAAGATTATTTTTGTTATTTTAGTAATATAATTTTAAAGATTAGCATGGTGACACAAACATATCTTCTGCATATACTCAATATTTTCTTTCAGTTTAGCTTTTCTGAATGCATGGTACAGTAAGTCTGCCTTGCCTATAAGAATATAAGTGATCATGTCCTCCTGTGAGTGATTTTCTCCATATTTCCCTTGCTTAAAATTCTATCTTTGCTTTTCCTCTGGTGAACTTTTTGATAATTGTAAACACGTGGGTTGAAGATGGTTTATAGTAGTTACAACAGGATTTTGATAACAGTGGAAGTTTTTTTTTTTTTTTTTTTTTTTTTTTAAGACCAATCAAGTGCAGTAGTGAGAAGGAACAGTGCTTCCACTGTAACCTATGTTTAGTAATGTTTGTCTTCCTGTCTGGTCTTTATCTTCATTTCCCTCTTTCATTAGCAGCCGTATGAGGACTTCTTCAAGGCATAGGTCACTGATTTAGATATCTTCACATGCCAGTCTTGGCTTTTGGATATCTCTATTTTTGTAGGAAATGAACCACATTGCTTAAGGATGTGGAAATAATAGGGAAAATACCACCTCATAAATTTTATGTTTATGTTGCTTTTAATGGGGCTTTTTTTGTTTTTTATTTTTTCTTTTTTTTTTTACTGTGAGGATTCTTTGGGTGACATAATGGGGCTTTTTAAGTTGAGAATTAGGTTGTTAGGTTGTTTTTATTAATAATATTTAATCACAAATTAGACTTTGGTAGAAAAAGAAAAATGTCCCATCCTCTGCCCCTTATGTCATCATAAAATTCACAAAGTTGCAAAACAGGAATAGCATACACCAGGAAGTGTGGCAATAGGAAGAAATGTGTGGCTTTACTCATTTCAGATGAACAAGGGAATTTTCCAACAATTTCATTCTGTGTTATAGTTTATTTTCCAGACCATACAGTGACATTTGCCCAATATTTTATATAAATTAGTTTATTTTTTATTTTATTTAACTTTTTTTTTTTTTGTTAAAACCACTTCAGGTTGGTTTCCTTTCTCCCTCATGCCTGGTGAGGTTGGGGCTGGTGGCGGGGGCGTGTGGAGGCAGACTGCATCATGGATATATTTGGGCAATTGATGAGTTTAAGTTCAGCCCTTGCCTTAGTGCATGTAATTCTTCCTTGGGTGTTCATGTCTGTTTAACTAGCTCTGTAACCCATGTGGAATTGTGTTGGAAAATGCATGTTTGATTTCTATCTTCATCTTTCTTAAGCCTGGTTTAAACCCTGGGGACATAGTTACAGTCTTCAATGTCTTATTATTTTCAGATGGAGCTTTTATGCTTTAGGGTTTACTGAGATAAGCTTTGGAGAGAAACTTTAAACAGAATGATTTGTGACCTGCAGGGATAGAGGCTGCAGTGTTTAAGAACTGAAAGAACCTTTTTCCTATTAGCAATAGTTGTTGAATGATAATACATGAAGTAGCATCAGTTTTTTTATGTGATTTTCAATGTTCTTATTTGGAAACAGAGATTCTTATATTAACTATTTTGTAAAATGTGCAAGGTATACTTTACAATGGCAATAAAATCTAAGATAAAATATAATATAATATTTCAAAAGTTATATATCTTACATACCATAAAACTTTTCTTTTTAGGCATACGGATCAGGCTGTGATATTGTTATTTTGGCAAATGACTTTGAATGTGTGCAGATCATTCCTGGTGCTAAGCATGGAAACATCCAAGTCAGCTGTGTGGAGTGTTCTAACCAACATGGAAGAGTAAGGGATTTAATTACTTTACTAAATGTCATTTTTAAATGTGTTTAATAATCTCAGAATATTCTTATCCTTTTATGCAAGGCTTGCCGACAGCTTCTTATTAATATACCTTGCTTAGGTGGCTATTGATAGGAGTTGTAAAGTGATAGGTCGTATACAAATTGTAAAGTGCCATTAGGTTGAAAATCTGGTAATTGTTATGTAGGTCTTCAGAGATCCGTAGGCCTTACAATCCTATGTGTACTGATATTCTGCCAATTGTTAATTCTAGCAGCCGTTAAGCCAGTAGGGAAGACATAAACTTTTATCTTCTCTACCGAGCACCCTTTATCTCCCCTACATATAATCAAATTTTTATTAAGAAATTTAGCAAATTGTTAATGTCTAATATAATGCTTGCCATATAGCAGGTGCTTTGTAAAGTCTGTTAATTTAATGAAAGTTTGTTGAGTGAAAAATCTTACAGTTTATTCATTCAGACTTTGAAACAGAGAGTTTATTTTGAAATAATTAAAATTTCATCTTACACACCTCTCCCTCAAATTTTCAAGCATACATCAAATTTTGGTTGCATATAAAATAAATATAGCCTATTTGCTGTATACTCTGGCAATTCAGTATGGCTGGTATCATGTAGCAGAGTTAAATGTCTCTGGAAGAATATAGAAATGAAATTTTTACCTGTAGTAATTGCAATAACTTAAATAATCTTAGTGTCCTAGAAATTGTTCTTTATTGGGTAACAAATTTTATGAAGGATATGTTAAATCAGAATATATGTGGTGATAAATAGTAATCATACAAATTTATACTGAATGATAAATTGTGATTATTATGCCATTTCTCCTGCCCCATTCTACTGCCCATATCAAGCCTTAATATTTGTGTAAATGTCCCAGTGATAGTATCACTTGACTTGCTATTGAAATACTGGATTTTCTGGTGTTTCCTGATACTCCTTTGTTGCTTTTCTGATTTTTTTTCAGGTTTTTTTACCCCTAAGAATTATTTTAGAAAACACTAAGAGTGTCAGATTCCTCTCATTAATTTTTCATTGCTCTTCTCTCTATGCGAAGCAAGGTAGCCTGTCTAGACTTGTACCATAGTTGTCAGAGGTGAATTAATAAATAACGTACATGCTGATGATAATCACAATGAACGCATTCTCCGAGAATAAAGTTTTTTTTTAAATACATAAGACATTGGTATTCATAACCATGGGAAGCAGAGCAACTTGTATTTCTACTTTTCCTTACCTGGTATAATGTAAAGAAAGCAAAATTGGACATCTTTATTGTTTTTATTGCCTCTCCTTTTAGTCTCTTTATCCCCAATCCTTGTGGTGATAACTTTGATGTTTGTGACTTTGTGTTAGTCTGTTATAAACATTAATTCATTCATTCATTAACATGTTGAATGGGGTCATTCACAACACTTTTTGCCTAAGTGTTAATTTGAAGTAGCTTCCCCACTACCATTGTGGATTAAAAGTTTTTTTTTCTTAGAAAGAATGTTAGATATTAGGTAATAGTTAAAATCACCTTCTGGCATTAGAGTGCCTTAAAATCACAGTAGACCTTTTTTTCAGGCTTTAAAAGAATATATAACTAATTTAGTTTTATAGGTTAACTGGTATACAGAGGTTACCAGAAGGTATGGTTTTTGGTCTGTCCCCTGTGGTTGATTTCCCTCTTGCCAAGAGGAGGATGAGCTGGGAACTGGCATTCAAGAAATTATTGGAAAACAGGCTCTGGTAGCTTCTAGAGCAGAGGGATTTATGTCTCTTCTTATCAGGTATGTGACCTGGAACAAAATCCTCCTGGTCCCCCATTCCCTAGGTTAGTCCTCTGGAGATGTCTGTATCAGCCCTTTCCCCCCCCAGGTACAGTGGATGGCTTCCTGATTTCTCCTTAGTCCATTTTTTCTATGCCTTCTTCTAGATGGTTTCCCAGTTGGGTTTTTCTGTTTGATGGCATGATTAATCCATTTTATTTGATGTATCTTTAAGACCTGTTACTAATATTATTTTATGTCTTTCTCTACTTTTCATGGTTTTTATATTATTTTCACTGTTTTATAAAGTTTCTGACAAAGAGAGATGCCATTGAAGTGTATTTTTGTTAATAAAGTGATTTTTATGTTAAAAATGAAATTCTTGTAGAAAATCTGATTGTCTGTTGAATAGGTCAGCTGTGTATTTGTTATGTAAAATAAAGCCTGCTGAATTTTTTGATAACAAAGAAGAGGCTTTTTTGCCTTCCACTGCTGTATTTTTTTGGCTTTTGCTTTTTTTTTATTTTAATAGATTTGGGGATACAAGTTGAATTCTATTACATGTGTACATTGTATAGTGAGAAGAGATTCAACTCCAATACACTTCCAGTTATATTTATGGAAGAAAAAAAATTAATACAGTATTGGGATTGTATTCATGTAATTAGTTTATACATTATTGTGAAAAGGAGGTTATCTTTATTTTACTTTCTAAATATTAATGCTGTGTTTATTCTTTTTTAGATTGCAGCTTCATATGGTAATGCTGTTTGTATTTTTGAGCCTTTGGGCATAAATTCTCATAAGAGAAACTGTGTAAGTATTAACTGATAGTAGAACATTTTTAGAATCTAGTTAATTTTAGAGTCCAGTTGATAGTAATAAAGAGCTCCTTAGTAGCTGAAAGTGCGCTGGAATATCATTGTAAAGTTGGTCTGATCCTTTTCATTCATTAGCAATATATCCCCAGACCTTTTAGAAACTCACGTTTCTAGAATATTGCTAATTGCGATTTACTGTGTTAATGAAAAGCTACCCTAGTTTGAATTACTTTATTTCTTGCTTAGATTACTAACCTGTACCTGATATCTGGTTTCCTATTCTCCTTCTACTCCCATGCCTCTTCTCAACAGAGCAGATCATGATGCTTCTCTGCTTAAAACTCTGTAATGGCTCCATGTTTCTCTCAGATAAAAACACAAAAAGCCTCAAGATAGACTACAACCTTCCTTCTCCCCAGCACCACACTTACTACCTCTAGAGTTCATCTTCTGCTGTTTTGTCCTCTCTGGTTCCACTCCAGCAGCACTGGCATTTTTACTGTTTCTCAGTTACTTTCCCTCTTAGAGCCTTTGCATTGGTTGTTCTCTGTCTGGAATGTTCTTCCTCCAGATACCTCCAAGGCAAGGTTAGCTGCCACAGATCCTTTAGGTCTTTGCTCAGTAATACCTTCTCAGTGAGGTTTACCTTGACCATCCTTTTAAAAATTACAACTTTTACTCCCCTTACCTTTCTATTTAAAAATTTTTTCCATAACACTTATCTTGTTTATTTACATATTGTTTGTTATTTAGAATGTATGCTCCATGAGAGTAGGAAGCTTTGTTTCTTTTTTCACTGATCAATCCCAAGTACTTAGAACAGTATCTGGAACATAGTAGGTACTCCTAAATAGTTGTTGAATGATGGAGTTAGGAGTTTAGATAAGCTCACATCTCAGATAAGTGATCAAACATACCACATTGAAAACCATTCAGCTTCATACTGAGTGCTATATTATATTTTGTCTTAATATTCAGAAAATCCAATATGGTTGGAATTATCAACCCCTTTAAAAATTATTACATGCGTTAGAACTCCACCATCACTCACAAATAATCAAAAGTGCAAATGCTAAATCTGAATGCCAAGAGTATATATTTACAAGTAATTTTTAAGTATACTTTTGAATAAAATGCATTAAAACAAATGATTTTGGTATTTTTTCATTAAATGTGTATATTTGAATTTTTTTTTACATTTCCAAAAAACAGTATAAGTTAAAATGTTAGTCTTATTATTAGAAATATATTTATATATTAATATATTTCATAATAGTATTATGAAACAGATACCAAATTTTGGAGTATTTAAGAGTCACCTAAAACACATACTAAATATTCAGATTTCCAGGCCTCATTCCCCAGATTTCTGCTAAATAGTTGATCCACAGATTATACTCTGAGGAACACTAAAGGAAAGAATATTAAGGTTGTCTATATAGGCTGGATGTGGTGGCTCACGCCTGTAATCCTAACACTCTGGGAGGCCGAGATGGGAGGATTGCTTGAGCTCAGGAGTTCAAGAGACCAGCTTGAGCAAGAGCAAGACCCTGTCTCTACTGAAAATAGAAAAAGTTAGCCGGTGTGATGGCATGCGCCTGTAGTCCTAGCTACTTGGGCGGCTGAGGCAGGAGGATTGCTTGAGCCCAGGAGTTTGAGGTTGCTGTGAGCTAGGCTAATGCCACAACACTCTAGCCTGGACAATAGAGTGAGACTCTGTCTCAAACAAAAGAAAAAGGTTGTCTATAATTTGGGAATTATTTAATTATTATTAATACACTAAAATAGATTTGATGAACAGTATTTAAACTACTGTTGTAACTGTTGTTTGATCAGCAGTGGTAGGGTTTAAAAAATAACATTTTCCCTGATTATGAAACATAAAATCATTTTTGGATAATGAAATGCAGGTTTTGCAGTTATATTTTTAAATTCTGCCTCTAAGTTGTCAAGAAACCTTGCATAATTATTTAATTGTTAAATATTTTAAAAATATTGTAAAGAGGAAGGGTATTGCCATCTTAAAAATTATTTTTTATTCATCAATTAATATATGATTTGCTTAAGGTAACATGGCTTTACATTACACTATACTTTCACAAAAGGACATTTTATATTTATGTGCTACAAAGAAATATGTAAACTTTTGTTTACTGTATTTCATGGCAAAGGTCTTTGACTTTTAAACTTTAAATCACCTTTTAGAATAAAAATATTAAAAAGAATGGAAATTATTCAAATATAATATAGATGAAGTTTGTAGAGTATATAATGTAGTTCACATCTGTTGACTTTTTGGGAGATACCTGATTTTCTTTTAGACGTTGAGTCCAGGGGATCATCATAATTTACATTTCTTTCTAATGTGTATTTATTTTGTTTTAATAAACATTTATTGAACATCTGTGTACCAGCCATTACAAACGTTGAAGATAATAAAGATTATTATGACATAGTTTCTGCCTTTTAAGAGTTGTAATTTAATAGGAAAGTCAGACATATAAACAAATAATAATTCTATGTGGGCTGGGCATGGTAGTTCACGCCTATAATCCTAGCACTTTGGGAGGCCAAGGTGAGAGGATTGCTTGAGCTCAGGAGTTCAAGACCAGCCTGAGCAAGAGTGAGACCGTGTCTCTTTTTAAAAAAAAAATAAGAAAAAAAAAAAATTCTACGTGATCAGTGTTATAATGGCAGAATGTAAAAGTGCTATGGATGCTTCCAGGAAGTCAGAGAAGGCTTCACAGTAGAGGTGATTATTTAGCTAATCCTAATGGAAGCCTAGGAGTTTGCAGATGGAGAAGTGAGGCAAAGGATATTCTAAATGTGAGAATGTATATATAGACATGGACTGAAGCATGAGAGAACATACTGTCGGCATGTCAATGAGTTCAGTATGGTAGAATAAATAGTGGAACCATTGAAAATTGTGTTAAAAACAGTATATGAAAATAAGAGTGAAACACTTGTATCTTTGTGTCAGATCATAAAATCTTAAAATGATTATATGGTAGTGTTTTTGGATATTATTTTAAAAACGTATCTTTTTTTTTTTCTCTACATGTTTCAGCAACTCAAATGTCAGTGGCTTAAAACTGGGCAGTTTTTTTTGAGTTCTGTGACATACAACTTAGCATGGGACCCTCAAGGTATTTAGCAATTATATTTAGAAATTATTTAAATTAAATGTTTGTTTTAAATATATGACGATTACAATGTGATATAGTCCCCCTTAATAAGAAAAAATGATCAGTATTATATTTTTTTTTGTCGATGAGTGAGTATACTTTTTTCTTCTTGGTATACACTACTTTGTACAATGCTTAATTTATTATTCTGTGCTTTTTTCACCTTTCTTTTGAATGTTTTATTTCAAGAAAGAGTGATGATTTGTTAGTTAACATGTGCTGTACTTAAACTGTAAATAAAACAGAGACCAAAAAAACTCCACCTTGTTGTATCATTTGTATTTCAGGAAATTACTGTCTTTACTTTTGAAAGGCTAGAAACATTTAATGATAATGACGCTTGTCTCTTTTTACATTCACAATTAATGAGGATTATTTTTATACAAATTTCCTGAATTTGTAGTTATGCCTTATATCCTGAAAACATTTTATATTATATAAATATCAGAGTTTTAGGGGTTTGTTATTCTACTTTTGCTGTTATGTTTTCTAAAGACTTGCTAGATACACAATAGCTCTTTGCCAGTAAGTTTTTCTTTTTTGTTCTCAAATCTTCCTTAAGAACTACTCTTTCTAGAGGATTCTCTTTTTCTTCTTCTAGAGAATTCTTTTAACTAGATATATACCAAGTGTTTTTCACCGACAGTATTACAGATCTAAACAAAAGCCCATGTGTATTTCTTTCCCTAGATAATCCTTGCTTATTCATCAGAACATTCTTTAATTTTCAGATAACAGATTATTGACAGCAACTGATTCTGTTCAGTTGTGGGCTCCTCCAGGAGGTGATATTCTGGAAGAGGAGGAAGAAATCGATAATAAAATTCCTGTTTTAAATGATTGGAAGTGCATCTGGCAGTGCAAGTTAGTGTCTAACTCTATGCTATATTCGTTAATTAAAAACAAATGCTTTCTAAAATGTTCCCTTTCACAAAGATCTTTATTTTTTGATGGTACCATTGCATTTAGAAGCCTAGAAAGTAGACTTTTTCTAACTAAAACCCATTTATAATGTCATTCTTTAATCTCTACTACAGTTAATTCTTTTAAAAAAGGACAAAAATATTTTCATGGTTATAGCCCCAGGACTTGAGTTGACAGGGTTGACACATAAGAATTACTCATTAATGTATTGAGATATGGATGAGGAAGGGGAAGGTGTGGTGAAAGTTGCCAGCCACTCTTTGAAGCGGAAGGATAGTTATACCGTTAACATTAACATAGATTATGCAATGGGGACCAATTAGCCAGGGAAGATGGTGAGCACAGCTTTTAATGTGTTATATTTAGGATGTTGGTGTGACATGTAGGTGGAAATATACTATATGCACGTTACTTACATTGTTGGTTTCCCAAAGTGAATGTTGGTTTTGTTTTAATTAATTTGTGCTTTTAGCGAGGTGAAATATTGTATTTACATTTTTAAGGAGGCAGAAACTCTCTTATTCTGAAGATTGTGACTTTAATGTTATGAAAACTCTCATCTTGACTATTTATGAATACAGTGTACCAGACTTAAAAAACGCTAACTATTTAACTTTGTCTTTTTTAGAACCTCAGTATCTGTACATTTGATGGAATGGTCTCCTGATGGTGAATATTTTGCTACTGCTGGAAAGGTAAAGGACCAAACAGAAAACAAACAAAAGAAACAAATAAAACAATTAGAAAATGTTCCTTATTCATTTTCAATGTTCTCATCTGCAAAACTGGGATAATCCTCTGTAAAGCTGGCTTGAGGAATGGTAATTAGTGTTAGTAAAAAACCTGGTATGTTCTCCATAGGCAGTAGGCACTTGGGAAATAATGCCTATTATTATTACTCTTAATTGACCTCAGCTCACTTACATTTTTTAGAACTAAGTTTTGTGTTTAAAGATAGCATAAATACATAATTTAAAAAGTAAAATAGCACGACTGAATTCACAATGAAAAGAAGTACTCCCTGCCTCATTATTCCCACTCTTAATTCCTGTGTCCTGGAGGCAGTTATTTGTTAAGTGGAATATTTTGATATTTCTGTCCATGTTCCTAAATAACTTGCAGGTGTTCTTGTTTCTTTACTTTCCCCCCCTAGTTCTGTGTATTATCTCTTGCCTTCCTCCTATGGAAGCTGAGACTTTAGCTCTAAAGTTGGTGTCTCCAATCCCATCTCCACATTTGACATGTACACATATTCACTTCACTTCCTTCTTGTTTCCTGATGTCGATATCTCATGATTTGGAGTAAATCAGTCTTACTGTTCACATTATTAAGATTGTATACATATTCTTCATAATCAGTAATTACTTTGGAGGTAATAATTGCTTTGTTTTACTGTTTATGTTTCTATATACTAATTTATCCCCAGAACCACTAATAGACTTTGACTCTTCTCTCAGTTTAATCCCACATAGGAGGTATCCTGGAAACATGTGTTCTCTTTGTTCCGATCTAGCATAATTGCTCTCCCAGTCTAAAATAGCAGAGCTATCATTTTGGGATTTTCTTTTACCAACCTCAGGAAATACTCTTTGCCTCTCTCCTTTATCAAATTCCCTATTTCTTGGAATCATTTATCTTCTTGTTTTGATGGAGATATCCTCCAGTAGGTTCCTGAGAAAAGGTGAATAGGAAAGAACATTTTTGAGGCCTTACATGTCTGAAAAATTTTTTCTTCTGCTCTTCTGCTTGATTTGCCTGGGTATAGAATTGGGTTGAAAATCATTGTCTCTCAGAATTTTTTAAAGTTTATTTTTTATTGATATATAATTGTACATATATATGGGGTACATGTGATGTTTTGAAACATGCATACAATGTATAATGATCAAATCAGGATATTTGGGGTATCTATCATCTCACAAATTTATCTTTTTTTTGTGTTGGGAACATTTCAAATCTAACTGTTTTGAAATATATAATAAATTACTATTAACTATAGTCTCCTTACTATGTTATTGAACACTAGAACTTATTACTCCTACCTAAGTATATGTTTGTACCCATTAAACAACCTCTCTTCATTGCCCCCCCATAACTGTTATTCTGCTTTCTATCTCTACAAGATCAAGTTTTTTAGTGCTCCCACATATGAGTGAGAACATGTGATATTTGTCTTTCTGTGCCTGGCTTATTTCACTTAGCATAATGATCTCCAGTTCCATCCAAGTTGTTGTGAATGACAGGATTTCATTCTTTTTTATTGCTGAGTAGTATTCCATTATGTGTATGTATTACATTTTCTTTATCCATTAATTCATTGATGGACATTTAGGTTGATTGCATATCTTTGCTATTGTGAATAGTGCTCCAAAAAGATGGGGGTGGAGGTATCTCTTTGATATACTGATTTCCTTTTCTGTGCATAAATACCCAGTAGTGGAACTGCTGGATTATGTGGTAGTTCTATTTTTGGTTTTTCAAGAAAACTCCATACTATTTTCCATAACTACTGTTGCCACCACTGGCACCCAAGTGAGCTGCCTAGAGGCCCAAGGACTGGCTTGCTTGGACCCACCACCACTGGCACCCACATACACTGCCTGGGGACCTGAGGACTGGCATGCCTGACCTGCTTTCGCCACCAGTTGTGTCCGAGAACTGGTCTACCTTGTGTCCTTGTCCCAAGCAAAGCCTTGCTACATCCTCAACTAGTAACTGCAGCGTAAGCCACTGAGGAACTCACAGACACCACTGACACTGATAATACAGGTAAAGAAATTGTATGGAGATCACACTACTGTGCCCACCTAGAATAAAAAACAGCACGCTACTCAACCAACACTGTAGATAAATCTGTATGAAAAATCTTTCCCTATGAAAGCCAGTCCATAAAATTGGAAGAAGTGACTGTTACACCAGATGTGCAGATATCAATGTAGGGACATAAGAAACACAACAAGGAAACCTGACACCTCCAAAGGAGCACAATAATTCTCCAGTAATAGATCTCAATAAAAAGAAAATCTATGAGATTCCTGAAAAAGAATTCAAAATAATGATATTAAAGAAAACCAGTGAGATATAAGAGAACACAGATAAGAAATACAAAGAAATCAGGAAAACAAATTTATGATCTTAATGAGAGATTCAACAGAGAGATATCATAAAAAAGAACCAAATAGAAATCCTGTAACTGAAGAATTCAGTGAATGAAGTAAAAAATGCAATCGACAGCTTCAGCACTAGACTAGATCAAGCAGAAGAAAGAATTAATGAACTTGAAGCCAGGTCTTTTGAAATAACCCAGTCAGGCAAAGAAAAAAAAAAAGCCTATGTGACATGTGAGATACCATAAAGCAACCAAATATTTGAATTTCAGGTGTTCCGGAAGGAGAAGAGATGGGCAAAGGCATAGGAAACTTATTTAATGAAATATTAGCCGAAAAATTATTGAGTCTTGTAAGAGATATAGACATCCAGATACAGGAAGCTCAAAGATCCCCAAATAGATTCAACCCAAAATGGTCTTCTCTAAGGTACTCTCTAAGGTAGTCAAACTGTCTAGGCAAAAAGTCAAAGACAAAAAGGAATTCTAATAAAGTGTCAAGCTCCATATGAGGAAATCACCATCAGGCTAATAGCAGATTTCTTAGCAGAAGCCTTATAGGCCATGAGAAAATGCGATGATAATTCAAAGTACTGAAAGAAGAAAACTGTCAGCCAAGGATACTATACCCAGCAAAACTAGCCTTTAGCAAGGGAGGAGAAATAAAGTCATTCCAAAATCAGCAACAACTGAGGGAATTCATTACCTCTAGACTGGCCCTAGAAGAAATGCTTAAGGGAGTCCTACATCTGGAAGCAAAGGGATGATACCTATAATCATGAAAACACATGAAAGTATAAAACTCACTGGTAGAACATATATACAAATGAGAAAGAATGGAGTCAAGCTTTACTACTATAGAAAATTATCAAACTGCAATGATAAACAATACGAGAGGAAGAAAGGAACAAAGGATAGACAAAACCAAGAAATAACAAAATGACAGGAATAAATTCTCACCTATTGATAATAACCTTGAATGTAAATGGATTAAATTCCACACTTAAAAGATATAGACCGGCTGAATGGATAAAAAACATGACATATATGCACTGTCTACAAGAAACTCACTTCACCTGTAAAGACACACGCAGATTGAAAGTGAAGGATTGGAAAAAGATACTCCTTGCAAATGAAACCGAAAGTGAACAAGTGTAGGTATACAACTGACCCTTGAATAACCCGGGTTTGAATTGTGTAGGTCCACTTACATGTGGATTTTTTCCAACCAAATGTGGATTGAAAATGCAGCATTTGCAGATATGAAACCTGCATATACAGAGGGTCATTTTTTTGTACACACGAGTTCCACAAGGCTGACTGTGGGACTTGAGTATGTGCAGATTTTGGTATACTTGGTGGGTCCTGGAACCAATCCTTCATGTATACCAAGGGACAACGGTGTATCAGATAAAATAGACTCTAAACTCTCAGAATTTTTAAGTCATAGTTCTATTGCCTTCTAGCTCCCACTGTTGAGAGTACAGTGCCGGTATGACCACACTCTCCTCATTTCCAGGTATAGAGTTTTTATAAGGATTTCCTCCTAATCCCTAGCATTCTAAAATTTCATGATGATGTCTGTGGTATCTGTTTCTAAGGGATAAAGACTTTTTTTGTGCAGACTATTTGGTGGACCTGTTCAATCTGAAAACTCATGTCTTTCAGTTCTGGGAGATTATTTTATATTAATAGTATTTCTTTGTGTTATTTCCTTCTCTTTCTAAATCTTATTCAGATGTTGAGTACTTTTACACTAATTCTCTAACTTTTCCCCTCTCCTATTTTCTATCTCTTCATCTTTTTGTTTAATTTCTGGAGGATTTTTCAGTTTTAACTTTGAACTAAATTTTCCTGCTGTCACACTTTAATTTCCCAGAGTTTTTTTCCTTATCCTCTGAATGTGTCTTTTTAAATTATAAAATATTTTATAAGTATAAGATTTATATATAAACATATATAAAAAATAATTAAACAAATACTCATGTACCCTGCTACTCAACTTGAGACAAAGAACATAAAACCGGTGGGAACTTTATCTTCCTCCTTGCATCTCTTCTGCCCCCTCCCACTCCAGGCAACCAGAATCCTAAATTTATATTTATTATTTCATTGCTTTAAAAAGTATTTTCACATGTATAAGTTCCCAAATAATATAATATTTAGTTTTCCATAGTTTCAAACTTATAGGAGTTTGTGGAGTTTTTTTATGACTTATGTTTTATACTCCACTTTATATTTGTGAGAGTCATCTATGTTTTTTTTTTTTTTTTTGAGACAGAGTCTCGCTTTGTTGCCCTGGCTAGAGTGAGTGCCCTGTCGTCAGCCTAGCTCACAGCAACCTCAAACTTCTGGGCTCAAGCAATCCTTCTGCCTCAGCCTCCTGAGTAGCTGGGACTACAGGCATGCGCCACCATGCCCGGCTAATTTTTTCTATATATATATATTTTTAGTTGTCCGGATAATTTCTTTCTATTTTTTGGTAGAGATAGGGTCTCACTCTTGCTCAGGCTGGTCTAGAACTCCTGACCTTGAGCAATCCACCCGCCTCGGCCTCCCAGAGTGCTAGGATTACAGGCGTGAGCCAC